TGATGATGATGATGATGATGATGATGATGATGATGATGATGTAAAGCAGCATAAGGACCAGTGTGGTGTACATTAGGCATGAAGCCAGCTGGGTGACTTTGAACGGTCACTCTCTCTCAGCCCTAGGAAGGAGGCAAGGGGAAACCACTTCTGAAATCTTGCCAAGAAAACTGCAAGGACTTGTCCAGGCAGACTCTAGGAGTCAACACTGACTTGAATGTGGGACTAGATTGGTGTAGTGATTAAGACATCAGGCTAGAAACTGGGAGACCATGAGTTCTAGTCCCACCTAGGCACAAAGCTGGCTGGGTGACCTTGGGCCAGTCACTCTCTGTCAGCCCTGGGAAGGAGGCAAGGGCAAACCACTTTTGAAAACCCTTGCCAAGAAAACTTCAGGAATTTTCCAGGCAGTTGCCAGGAGTCAAGAATGACTTGAAGGCACCCCTCCTCCAAAAAAACCAGCACATAATAAACCACTAACTAACTAATAAACTGCAATTGTGCTTGAGGTCACATCCTTAGTTGCTGCTGTTTTGGAGAACATTGCTATTGGTATATTTCAGCTTTCTTCAACCCACCAGTTTCCAAATGGATTGGACTGCAATTCTTAAAATGTCCAGTTGGTGAGCCCTTTGGCAGCCTTTATATATGATTAGCTCAAATCCATAATTCAAAATTTATTGATTTGTAATTTAAGAAAGTCTGTCAACAATCTGGGCAAAATAGAATGCCTTTCTTTTTCTTGAAGCCCTGCTAATCATCATTTGCAAAAATATGCACATTCTTTTTAGCTGCATGGACATATACTTCTCTCAGGGCCAGCTCCTCTTCAGTTGCTGCAAACACTAGAACCCGGGAGATCCGCCATAGAGTGGGGTTTCATCTGCGTGGTCATGGCTGCCATCTTGACTTTTTGGACACCTCCCCACAGATGTCACTGGTAGAGATCCTACGATATCATAAGAGCCTTTGAAGTGTGCTGCTGTTTTCTAATGAATGGGATAGCCACTGAAAATAGAATGTATCTATATAGCTCCTTTAGGCCCATTAATGCTTGCAGATTTATGGCAGGAATAAATGGGAGTGTTAGAGAAATTCTTAACAGTAAAAGCAGGTTGAATGTAGACCCCATTACCCAGGGAGGGAGTGGGAGCTTAATCTGAGGAACATACCAAAAGCAAGAGTTCAAGAGTGGACGGGCCCAAGCTATAGTGGGTATTGTCAGGACAAAAACTAAACATGATTTAATTTAAATCTGACATGAATTAATTAAATACAATTAAGATGATTACTGGGCATGTGTTTAAGACTGTCCATTAAAAATTGCACTTCAGTGGAGCTTTTAGAGAATGTGTCCCTCAAGATCAAAAGGACTGCTCCAGCTTTGGATCATTAGATTTTGCTTCCCTGTTTTAGACACTACTATCTCTTGAAATATTAATTTTAACAGGTCAGTAGGATTTTACAGATTTAACTGAGGAAATGGAAAAGAAAAAAAAAAAGGAGTTTCCTGTTAGGGTTATTACTACGTATTCCTTCTTGTACTACAAAGGGAAGATAGACAGCAATTGACATTCAAGTCTGACTCCTGTAAATGTAGGACTTTTCAGTGTTCAACTGGCATGGAAACTATAGTACATGCTGAAGACAATCCAAAGATGTCACATGAATAATGCAAAAGATGTCAGACGGGATTATACTTGGGGAAGCAAACATTGGCTTTCAAGCAGAGCAGCTACAAGAATTGTAAAATGGGGTCTGGGGAAATCCTAAACTGCTGCTGGTTGTAATGGAGTCAAGGAGAAAATGTATGAACGTTTGAAAATAAAATGGTGACACTACCCTGAACAGTACTACTATCAGAAAAGAGAACCACTGCTATGTTTTGCTTCTGTCTAAAATAATGCACAATGTCAGTTTTTATGTTCCATAAATGTTGCTGCCATCTTTATACTATTTTGGGAATAAAGTTAGTAGGAATATTTAGAAGAATTTTGATACCAGAACAAATATGAGCCAAGCCTATTTAATAATTAAATCAGACACTTCTGTGCTCCCAATGTCAGGAGTAACTATTTCATCTCATCTCAGTTTTAAATTCATGCAAGTCACTGTCCTTGATTTCCTTCTCTTGGTTCCAATTCCCCATAGACACAATAAAGTGAAGATGCAAGAGATGCTGGCAGGATGATTATCTGCTCCAGTTAAGGCTCCTTAGGTGCTTTTTCTGCACTTTCTATTATTCTGTATATTTTTAAGGTTATATCATTAGGAGAAACCCAAATTTAAGATGTGATATGAACCCACTTGTAAGATTACAATCCTAACATGATTATTATTCTGTTCTAATCCTTTTCAAATATATAGCTATCTTGAATCTTCTGATCTGGCCTATTTGCTTATTCCCTGATAGGCCTGTTCTACGTACAAGGGTTGCACCCATCTGGGATGGGTGCCAGGCTCAAGTGTTCCCACAATGCAGCTGGTTTTGGGGAGCAATTCTGCACCTGAGTCAATTACCTGGTGGTCCAAAGGAAAGAAGCAAGGATTACAGCACTGCTTTTCTGAAGTTCCAGAGCAGGAGATTTCCCACTGATTGGAATTCTCACTTCATTTTGTCTGCCAGCTCCTCAGATCACCCTCCTCCATGAAGGAGTCAAGGTATAGTTGTGCCTTGTTTCTGTTTTTCCTTAAATCTGTGCCAAGCAAAGATTTGCACTCTCTCCCATGGTGTGAGGGTGGCCATGGTTTTCCTTTTTCCTCACTGCAAAAACAGATGCTGAGCCTTCACACCAAACACGTCAATAGATCTCTCCTGTCTAGGAACTCTACCCCACGTTCAAAAGCTAACTAACAGCAGAAGATTTGGAGCACAGAGAAACTGCTTTATTGCAGAGAAGAAAAAAGTCATGTACGTGAAGAAGGTCTACCTACATTATGTTATATCTATGTTTGTATGTGCCTCCGAGTTTAATTTTTCTTGTCTTTTAGAGTCAATGGAGTTTGGGCCATTCTTTTCACAGTTTGGGAAGCACTTCCTCAGAGTTTACACAACAGATGTGTCTCACCTGAGCATGGCTGGCTTTGGTTTCACAGCTTCAGACCCTACACAGACATAGCAAGGTGAAAAAATGGGGGTGGGGGATTGGGCTCACTGCTAATGTTATTGTCCCACCATTGGCCAGTTAAGGGGATACTGGTTACTCAGTTAAGGGGATACTCTGCATAACTGGGCACTCATGAGGTGACACAGATTGCTTAGAGGGTTTGAACGATGAAACTGATGGCTGTGTGGAAGTGCTGTTCAGTTGTCTTTTGTACTCTTGATATGTTATTGAGCTCTATTCTCCCTCTCATGACCCCATCTGTTCTTGGCATCCATACTTTACATATTAGTTGTGAGATGCATCTGTCATGCAATCTCATATTCTTAAAAGGTCCAACTAATTTCTATGGAAGAAGATTCAGTGATGAGTAAATTCTGATCCAGCCAGCATTTTGTACCTTAATAAGATTTAGGGAATAATAAAAGTGGCTAATAGAACTAAAAGTTCACACACACAAAATAGTGTATGCCATGATTAGACTGCCAAATATAACAGTTCTTTGAAGCTGTTCTTAGCAAAATGAATCACCAGACATAGAGGTGTGGTAAATGATGCATTTTATCAGTATTACATACAACACTGTATCAGGAATAGATGCCATTGTGGTTTAATTAGGCTAAAGACTTGCTCAAAATGGAATTCTGCTTGGAAAAAAAAGTTCCATAAGCAGCAGGCCTGTTCCAAAAATAATGTTTTATTAGAGGAGAAGATTGGCGAGAATAACCTTTTTATCAAAATGGAGAGCTAATGGAATGATGAATTTAGTAAGAAGACATGCTAACTGTTCTTAATTTCCAATGGTGAAGTGAAATTGCTCCTGAGAAAACATCATTTGCAGCTAACTGCTTGGGCTAGCTGAAATGCTAGTTTTGACAAGCTGTGAAGATGATAAAATGTTGGTTTTGGCACTTCCAACTCTCCAAATGGTGCCCTGAAAAAAATATCCTTTTAAAGGAAGGTGTCAATTGATTAATGCACCTGCAGGTAGGCCAAATAGCTCGTTGAGATATATAAGAATTTTTCTTCTACGTTTAGAATGTAATTCCAGAGATGTCTACTTGGGCAAGTCTGATTCAGTACTGATACAGGTCCAGGACTGCAACCTTAGGCTGCTGTTTCATGTACTGTATATGGAGGTAAACCTCACTAACTATATTGGCGTTCTTTACACATAATGCTAAGCCATTTTTAATAATCCATGCTTTGCTAAACAAGCAATGGTGACCTAATTTATACATAACACTATGCAAAAGAAAAATAAACCAATATGAGTTAGTATGATGTCTTCTGAATTAATTTCTAAGGAGACAGATACAGGATTGCATTATCACATGATACACCCATCCAGGACAATTCCTTTCTATATTTTTTGATGCTCAAGTGGAATATTTTGAAAAAATTTAGCCAGCAATGATTTTAATAGAGTTAATAGCCTTTTAGGGATTATACTCCATTCAGAGAGAGCCAGTTTGGTGCAGTGGTTAAGGCATCAGGCAAGAAACCAGGAGACTGGGAGTTCTAGTCCCACCTAGGCACAAAGCCAGCTGGGTGACCTTGGGCCAGTCCCTTTCTTTCTGCCCTCGGTAGCAGGCAAAGGCCAACAAGATCAAAAATAT